AGGATTGCCTCTTTTAATAGAAGGGGGATTATTTTTAAGAGGGAAGGAAAACCATTGTATATAAGGCCCTGTTTGATATTCCCAATTTTCCACGGAACTTGAAAATCATTTTCCATTTTCCATCTTTTACATTGTTTGATAGGAAGAATTTTATTTGGAATTGGTTTTCCACCCTATCCCCATGTGACCCATTTTTCCTTGTTTTTCTTGAATCGGTTTTCCCACCACTTTGGTGGGAAAATGGTTTTCCCACCTTTTTTTTTTAATGAAAATAAATTTTATTTCCAATTATAACAAATTATATCCCTTTAATAGATAATTTTCATGTAAAATAAAGTCATACGAATACCAAACGATCCAAAATTTCAATATTTTCCACGTGGAAAATTATATTAATCAAATACAATTAATTAACAATTTTCAGGAAAACAATTCTACGCAATTCAATTCCCTGTAATTCTTTTTTTTTTTCAACCCAAATTCCAGATCCAAGATATTTTCTATGAATGGCAAGAATTTTTTCACAACTTCTCATCGATCTCCAAAATATATATTCATATATTTGCAAATCAAAATTCAAATGCCCACTGTTCAAATAGTGAGTCGTAGTGCAGTTGCCTTTATTCTGAGCTGAAGATCAATCCCACGCATAAGAGAAATACAGAGACGCTGATTTGTACAAGTGCGTGACTCCAACTCAGAGGGCATCCCTAATTTTTCTCTCTTTTTGACAAAAAATGATCTAAGAGCTCCCTACTTGCTGAGTTTTTGGAATAAACTTTACTGATTAATTTAGGTCACAAGGAAAATAGGTTTTGCGGATTGTGATGACTTTTGGATTTCATTTTTGTTAGTAAAAATGACTACAGTTCGATTCTGACAGTGACTCAAGGAGTTGTTCTAGGTATTTGTGTATCCTAGTGGTAACACAGCAACCATAGATTGACATCCAGAATATCTGAAACTCGTCAATTGGTGTGAAATATTTTCTGTTAAAAGATATTTTATTTGAAAAATCATCACGTAAAAGAATTTTTGGAGGAGCGATTAGAAATGATAAATGAATATGGAAGTTTCTCTCTCTGATTTGATGCTGTTGGTCACAGGTTATACGAAGGAGTTTCATTCCCTATGCGGTTTATTTATCTTATTCTCGCTGTCATGTTTATAATGAATTATTGTAATTAAATTTCTTTGTTTCTTGAAATGGTTTCACGAATAAAGCTAAATGTAATATTCTGGCATAATTAGTCCAACTGTAAGACTACCAATTTTTAGTCTTCTATCCATATCTGAAAATGACACGATTAAAGATTTTCCTTATTGTAGAGCATTATCTAGAGGGGCCTTACTAAATTCACCTGATCCTGGCATAGAGATAAATATGACAGAGGACATAAGTAGGGGTTCCCAAAGTGTCGAAAGAAGCTTCAAAAGTCATCAGCTAAATGGCTTGCCAGATCAGGTCTCTAGTCCAGTCAGAAAAGAAGTAGTCAGCAGGTACACTTCTTTTGGTGTCTTCATAATGATGGGATTTTTCAATTTTGTGGCTTTTCATGAATTCCATTTTATGTTGATAGATTTGATTGAGGTTGCTATGACATTGGTCAGATGTTTGAGTATATCTAGGGTGTAATCTTGCTGTTTTAAATTTCCCTTTCTGGCAGTTGATATTAGATTCAATTTTAATGTTTCATAATGTGATGTTTTCATGCTTTCAATTTTAAATCTTGTTGATCACTTCCAAACGCCTTCAGAGTATGCCCTAATGCTTAATCAAATTAAACTTCAATGATTTACTCCAAATATGAACCTCTTTCAAACTGAGATCAAATCAGAACCTGAAGACTCTAACCAGTTGCAACTTGGCATTACAAAAAACCCACCGCAGCTCACTATCATTTTCTTCGATTCAAGTAAAAATCGGTAAGAAGATGTTATGACTTGTAACTAAAGATGATGGATTTGAGTGATGAGATTCATCTATAAGTCGAGTATCTTGGCTGTCTGATCAAGTATGTGCATGGTGTGGGTTAACACATAGTAAGATTTTATTTGAGGGTCCATGGTCGACATGAGTGCCTCGAAAATTTTATCCCCAATGAAAGGTGTTTTCAAAAAAATTTCTCCAAGTGCCTTCCTTGTTTGCTAACACATTTTTCTCATAC